TCTCATCCTCTCATACTCATCTCACTGTTCCCAAATCTTCTGTGTTACATCTGTGTCAAGATACATTTATAAAAATGATCCATATACTCTAACCACTTTGTTTTTGAATACGTCTATAATTCTTCTCCCCAGAGTGCTTTTTGAGTTCCTATCGTATACAAAGCACTCTATGAGATGTCCAGCACCTAAAAATGCCGTAGACAGAGCTCCGCGCATAAGAATCTGACAAGTAATCCAAAGGTACCTCTCTATTATACAAGTCTGCAAAATAAGCAATTCTCTTTCAAAGGAATCTGATTGGAAATAAAGGCTTGGGGCAAAACTGAACTAGGGTACGTACAGACTGAAAACAAATAATTGAGAGAAGGAGGAATACAGGAATTAATGATCCGAGAAAACCTATGTGTGTTTAAAGTAGTTCTTGATTTCTTTCTAAAGGATTACTTTACAACACGGAGCTGTCAGCTCTGATCAGCAGGATCCTAGTGTCCATGCATCTGCAGTTGGAGTAAAGGATTAGCACGGCTTGATTAATGTAAGACTTCACCATGTTGTAAACTCGTATGGCATCTTCCTTGATCACTACCATGAACCCTGAAGATAGTGCCTGACACAGAGCAGGCACACTCATGTATACTTGATGAATGAATAACAAAATAATTGGAATTTAAATTCGTTCTAGAAAAATGGTACAATGTTCATGGAAAAGCATTTTGGTAAGAATGTGTAACTAATCTGAGGAATTATCAGTATTGAAAGTTTGAGCCAAAACATTAGGTGTCTAATTAGGGCCAAATGGCAGTTAAATCTTTAAAAGAAGTCAGAACACAGAGGCTCTATGTAGCATGTTGAAAAACCAGAAGGTCATCTCAAGGACAATGTTGTGATTGAAGAACATTAAATAATATGTGACATGGTCTGGTTGGCTCCTTTAAAAGATTCTGGAGGAGGGCTGGGCGCGGTGGCTCATGCCTGTAATCCCAGCATTTTGTGAGGCCCAGGCGGGCAGATCACCTGAGGTCAGGAGTTCAAGACCAGCCTGGCCAATGTGGTGAAACCCCATCTCTACTAAAAACGTAAAACTTGGCTGGGCATGGTGGTGGATGCCTATAATCACAGCTACTCAGGAGGCTGAGGTAGGAGAAGTGCTTGAACCCAGGAGACGGAGGTTGCAGTGAGCCTAGATTGTGGGACTGCACTCCAGCCTGGGCGACAGAGTGAGACTACGTCTCAAAAAACAAGATTCTTGAGGAGATACATAGATGATGGAGGACATAAGACTTCAGGCAGGGAGAGCAGTGAGGAAGGTGCTACAGTTATATCTGAGAAATAAGAGGTACTATTTTAAAACAGTGAGGGTACTGATGAAGAGAAGGAAGCAACCTACATAAGATTTAGATTTAGATGCTGGAATTTTAGATGAAAAGATTCTAGGATGAACCACAAATTCTGACTTGGTGACCTGTTGCCATTCATAAGATCAGAAGGGGTAAATAGAGAAAGAGTTTGAGGATGCAAAGGTGATGAGTTACACTTTCGGTCTGTGAGTTTGAGATGCCTGTGAGATATCCAAGTGGAAAAGTCAACCAGACAGTACAATGCAGAATAGGGCTGTTAGGTGAGAAGTCTCAGCTGGAGATGTAGAGTTGAGAATAATCACTGAGAGTTGAAATCCTGGAAAACACCCAGGGAGAATGTGTAGAATGAGAAGAGAGGAGGCTTGAAAAGTGAACTCAACTTCTAAGGGGCAGGTGAGATTGAGGAACTTCCAAAAGAGACTGAGAAGAGGCCACTCAAAGACAAACATGCAAAGATGAAAAGTGAAGGTAGGTTTTATAAATTGCTCTTAAATAGCAGAGCCAAAGACATTTTTTAAAAATTCAAATTAATATTTTAATTCCTAAGAATAGGTGTGGAAAATTCGTTGACTGATTGAAGAATTACAATTATTTGCTACAAATTCAAAGAATGTTACAATTTGTCAGCATTATAACAATCACTTTGTTAAATGATGACTACGGGCGAGGTAGCGGCGCCTGTAGTCCCAGCTACTCGGGAGGCTGAGGCAGGAGAATGGCGGGAACCCGGGAGGCGGAGCTTGCAGTGAGCCGAGATCGCGTCACTGCACTCCAGCCTGGGTGACAAAGCGAGACTCCGCCTCAAAAAAAAAAAAAAAAAAAGAAAAGAAAAAACGAAAAAAAAACTTAAGAAAATGTCTGTGTGAAGGATGGGATAAAAATTTCAAAAAGCAAAACTTAGAATAAAATCAAGAGATAATTGCTTCATATTTATATCTCTTAATCCGTGACAGGATATGAGGTTTTTTGGATCAGAGAACAGATAAATTATTTACTTACATAGCAAACTTAGCATCGGTTCCCCATCCCCCAGTCCCCAGTGGGGGACCTAGTAGCCAGCCTTACCCTGTGTATACAGGGGTTGTACCCCAGGAGAGGAGGTTGGAAAATATGTGTCTCAGAACTCATACCGTGCAGCTGAGCCAGCTGCCTCTCTTTCCCCTGGAGAAGAAAAGAGAAAGACTTCAACTAAAGTAAATAAATGGTCTCTGGGGAGGCAAAAGTCCCTAGGTTTATTATTCTGAGTGTAAGCACATAGCTTCTGGGAGGATGATCCTAAGTTTCTCAGGAGTTATCCATCTTTAACTTCCAATGGTTCTTTGCCATTGAAACATCCTTTAACCCAGATGCCAGCAATATTTTGCCTAAAGCTTTGACCTTGTATAAAGTGAATATATTCATGTAGCACTTTTTCCTGGCCATGACTAGAAGTGCTAGACTATGAAATCAAGTTAAATAATCACAATGGCACAGAATCTGTAAAAATGGAAAACCTTCCTCTTAGGAATTTTTTTTTTTTTTTTTTTTTTAGTCTCAGCTGAGATAATTTACCAAGAAGGGCTCTTTTCACAGTAGGTCCGTAATAGAGCTTGACCCAGTCATAATGTGATGATGGGTCCACATCCTAGCTGACCTGGATGTGAAACCTAAAGCACTGCATAGCATCTTTCCTAGATTTGAAGGACTTTTAAACCTTTGACAACACATCATCTCTATCCATTCCTAGCCTCAGGAGCCCCAGACAGAATTCATCACTTCCTCTTCCCTATTCCCACCGCACTTTGTGTTAATCTCTTAGAGCATTTTTATTATAATTAGTTGTGCCTGTCTGCCTCACTGGACTATGAATACCTGACAGGAGAAAATATTTCTTGAGCGCCCACGATATTCAGGGCATTGTGTTAAATGTTGTAAGAAGTTCAAGAAAATGATTGCATTCTTAAGAATACTTCGTTTCATTTTTTGTATATCTTGAAATACAGTCCTGAGCTATATTAGGTTAAAGGAAGAGAAATTGAATTAGCTAGCAACATAGGGGGATATTCCTCAACTATAAATATTTATGAGCTGATTCTATAGTTGATAGAATTAGCTATCAATTATAGGGGGACAGCTATCACTATTTATGGACTTAAATGTGAGTGTCTTTAAGAGAGAAGTGAGGAAAGGAAGGAGAATGTGATCTTGGTGTTTGAAGGAAAAGGTGGCATCATACATAGCGAGACTAAGAGCAGAGAATTAGATAATGTTTGGTATCTAACTCACTCTGACACTTGTCATAATGAAAGAGAAAAACATCTTAGCTTTTTTTTTACATCTTCAGTAATTAGCTATTTTATGCGGAAGCTATGTGTGGGAATGTTCAAGAACATTTATCGGGATTTAAAAATAGAAAATAATTTTCTTCTGGTTCAAACTTGATTGTTTTACACCGCCAGTCAAGCAAGAGTCTGAGTGTTGAATAAGATCAGGAGCCTATAATACATTTTCTCCCCAGAGAGATTAAAAAATACTATCTATTAGTTTCAAGGAGAATTAATTGATTCACATTTGTAAAGGTCTTTGATGCAAAATGTGCCATAAAAAGAATAAAAAACATTCTGTGGAACTCAGAGTAGCACTAACTTTCTTTTCATTGGAAAAATATCTTGGTTGTCTAGATATATTTTTCAGCGATGTGTATGAAGCAAATAATTCAATTTATTGTTCAGTTCTAATACAGATTTAATTACAGATTTTCATACTGCAATATTTCAAAAAGGATATTCAACCCTTTTTGTTTGTTTGTTTTTTTGAGATGGAGTTTTGCTCTTATTGCCCAGGCTGGAGTGCAGTGGCGTGATCTCGGCTCACCACAACCTCCATCTCCTGGGTTCAAGCAATTCTCCTGCCTCAGCCTCCCCAGTAGCTGGGATTACAGGTTCCCGCCACCATGCCTGGCTTTTTTTTTGTATTTTAGTAGAGACGGGGTTTCTCCGTGTTGGTCAGGCTGGTCTCAAACTCCTGACCTCAGGTAATCTGCCCGCTTCAGCCTCCCAAAGTGCTGGGATTACAGGCATGAGCCACCATGCCTGGCTTCGACCCTTTAAAAAAAAAAAAAGGCTACAAATTTACCTCGATAGTACACAGTTAAATTTTATTTCGCTCTTTGTATGTTTCAATATCAGGATAATTCAAATCTGACATTTTAATTAACCTGCTTACTTTTTAAATAATTGCTGGTCAAAGTTTAAGGTAGCAATTTTTTTCTCAAATCACATATTTTACCTACTTAAGGAACATTCGGATAAATGTTATATTTCCTATATATTAAATGTAAAAAATTAGCAATTCAATGACTGCCGGGATGATTTGTAAGTTAGGTTGTATTTACATTTAGGACATAGCAGAGAGGAAGCACTGATGGGTTTTGCCCATATTGGTCATTTCTGTTTCCATAGCAACAGACCGCCACTTCTACTCATTTGTATGTAATTTGTATCCTACATGTGTTCCTCTAGAATTGGCAAGTGTGTTCAAAAATCAAAAACAAGGTCATCAATTATTTTGTTCAAAATTTAATAGTTTACCTTCTGGGTCTGACCTTGATATATTTATATGCGTGTGTTGGTTTTACTTTCCCTTTGTTTCTGTTTTCTCCAGTACAGTGCCCTTAATCCACGAGAATCATGGGACATGTGGCATCCCACTCTGGTGGCAGAGGCTTTATTTGCTATTGCAAACATCTTCAGTTCTCTGCGTCTGATCTCACTGTTTACTGCAAATTCTCATCTGGGACCTCTGCAAATATCTCTGGGAAGAATGCTCCTGGACATTTTGAAGTTTCTATTCATATACTGCCTTGTGTTGCTAGCATTTGCAAATGGCCTAAATCAATTGTACTTCTATTATGAAGAAACGAAAGGGTTGACCTGCAAAGGCATACGATGTGAAAAGCAGAATAATGCATTTTCGACGTAAGTCTAATAGACATTTCTACTGGTAATGTTGTACAGCATTTAGAGTGCACCACATCACAAACTTGAAAAACCTATGACAAATGGTTATAAAGAAAATGGGGAATTAAAATTATGCTTAATGCAGAAAACAGAATTCATGTGGCTTTAAACAGAAATGAAAACTACCGACAGGAAAAAGAATACCTGGCACATTTATTTTAAATTTTAGTAAAATCATCTTTTCTTGTAAATGACTTCATGAAAAAGAAAGCAATAGATACTATTTTTTTAGATGTAGAATCGAAAAAGGTAACCTAGGGACTACGAAAGCTTACAAGTACATTAAAAGATAGAACATATGTAAAACCACTCATGTTGGAAAATTCAAGTAGGTTTCAATGTTTCCTTATGTGTTTCCCAGGTACTAAAGTCCATTTACGTATCTCTTTCATTCTCTAGTTTCCTACACAAAAACTTAAGCATCTGAAAATAGCGCAGATGGAAATCTAAGACGAATCTAGCCATTATTGCCATGCACACAACGCTCTCTGTGCCCTTACAGCTGGATGAGCAATAGACACTGTCTATTGTCAACTCTCTTCAGTTATTCTCATAACAGGCTTTGCTAACAGCACACAGCTTCATGGGCACTGTGTTTGATGGTCACACAGCTCTCATAGGCTATTCCTCTATATATCTGTCCCATTTCCTTCCCACTGTGACAAACAGACGGTTAACTAGTAGGTGAATTAATAAGTGAAGTGATATTCCTCCACACAGTAACCACATTTGAATACACAGTCATTTTGTAGGTGACTTTAAAAGTCATACCTTATTCATGAGCCATCATAGAATCATGTATACTATAAGAGAGGATGGTAATTTCTCAAGTAAGAAAAATTCAATATCACATGAACAAATTCACTTACAGCTAAAATGCTCTTGTTGATTTAATTCTACATCTGTTTTATCTTAGCCCCAATATTTAAAACTTCATTTTAATTATTCATCATCTTCTTATTTGCACATAATTTTTAAATGTCAGCCATTGATACCTCATTGTTTTCAGAAATAGATTTGATACATCCATGGATCTTAAATAAAACACTTTTTTTTTTTTTTTTTTTTTTGACAGAGTTTTGCTCAGTCACCCAGGCTGGAGTGCAGTGGTGTGATCTCGGCTCACTGCAACTTCTGCCTCCAGGGTTCAAGTGATTCTCCTGCTTCAGCCTCCGGAGTAGCTGGGGCTACAGGCACCCACCACCACGCCTGGCTAATCTTTTTATTTTTAGTAGAGATGTGGTTTCACCATGTTGGCCATGGCTGAGTCTTGAACTCCTAATCTCAAGGGATCTACCTGCCTCAGCCTCCCAAAGTGTTGGGATTACAGGCGTGAGCCACTTCGCCGGCCTTCCAGCTCCATCTTGATCCTGTATTCCTAAGCAGCAGTTTCTTGACCTGACTGGTTCACTCAGTCTTGACATCTTCCCACTGCTCTCTTCTGACCCTGGGCAGGAGGAATTCAATGAAATCCCTTGCAAAAACATCCTCATAACTAGCATGGCCTAGGATGGCATCTCAGTTTTGATATCTGAACTTCTCTTCCTCCCCCACCCACTCCCCCACCCCCGTCTCATTTGTGGTTCTTGACTTGCAACTCTGCCAGGGAAACCTAGATCAGAGATTTACAATGGTCAGATCCCACCAACCTCTTCCTTCATAAATGAGAGTTCTGCTCTAACCGTCTTTGTCTGTCTGCCAGCTGGTCTCCTGGATTTCTGATGGAGAACCCTTGTGAATGCTCTTTCACAACTTTCTTCTTACTTTACGCTGCATAACCTGGTGCAAACTGCTTGCCAAAACCACCCCATCTGTTCCTGTTGCCATATCCTTCTGACTTCCTCCTTTGCCTTCCAGAAAGAACTTCTACACAGCATTTAAAACTGTGTTAACTCCTAGGTCCTCTTTATTTTGGGGGAAAAGCTCTGGTTCTCAGACCCAACCCTTCTCACCTATCTGATTCCTCTGCAATCAATAGGTTATACCTAACACTGTCATGATTTATGATCCCCTAAAATTCCTAGCAATTTCCTTGCCCCTAGTATTGGTTTCTTTGTAAGTAATAACATATTACAAACTAATCATAACATAAATCGAAGGAGATTATGGCCAGACAAGTAAGATGTAAAATACTTAATATAAATTCTATTCCAAAATCCAATATATTGGATTATTGGAATTATGTATTACTTTCGTTTGTCTATACCAATGGTTTCCTCTATTGTCATGAGAAACAACATATAATTACATATCTTAAATACTATAGGCCTATATCATTCAACCCAAATAAATCAGTTATTGCACTTATTTTTTCTAAATGATAGAATATAAATCTGCAAGCCACAAGTTAGTTTTTGCTTCAAGATACTGAAAAATTAAAGTATATATCAATAGCCCTTAGCATTAGGAAGCAGGAGGTCCTAGACATAAGTCACCTATCCCTTGATGACTCTGTTTAAGCAAAACGGACATCAGTCACTGTCACAGGGTATATAGTGATACCGTTGCGGCCCCTGCTCTACATCTTACTTCAGTGCTTTCTTTTGTCTTTAATTTTCTTTTTGTAATTCTGTATGATTCATAAATTAAAAACTACCCACTATTTCTGAGACTTTATTCTATGTGAAGGTTAAAAATAAAATAATTCATATAAAGTACCTAACACAGTGCATGTCATACAATGTCATCAAAAATGGTAGCTACTCTTATTATTGTCATGATTGGCAATGGTAGAGGATTATCTCTCACATATCTCTCATGAGGTTTCATCTCTATTATTCCTTCCACTCAGGTTCAAACTTTGTAGAAATTTTGAACCTAGTATTTCCCATTAGCTACCACTCCTGTTTCTCTCATTTCTTTCATCCAAGTAACCCTAAAATAAGCCTATGCAAGATATGATATTTTCTCACCTCTCACTCAGACTTCATCCAATTACAATTTGGCTTCTGCTTCCACCATTCCACTAAAACTGCCCTAAAAATTATCATCTAGAGCCTTCTTATCACCATTAACTATGGACATTTATCTGCTCACGTTTTACTTAATGTGTCTGCTTCATTTGACCCTGTTTAATGCTTCCCTTTTTGGAAATCTTGTCCCCTTTTAACTTCCATATTATTACCCTTTTCACTTCAAATCTTACTTCTCTAGCCTTTCTCACTTTAACCCTAACCCTAACTTTACTCTGATAATTTTTTATTTTCATTACTGCTTTTAAATAGTGGTATGTCTTAGCATACTAACCTGAGACCCTTTTAACAGTACCCCTATGAAAACTCATCTATGCTTTTGGAACTGGCTCTATATGTCTACGACATGACTTGCATATTTATATTACTAACACCAATTTCTATCCTTGGATTGCACAATATATTCATCTATTAGACACTTCTCTTTACATGCATCTTGAAGACTTACATTCAATCAAAGAGAATTTATCATAGTCTCTCTAAAACGTATTCTTCCTCCTGCTTAATTCCTTTTCTTAGTCAACATGACCACAATCCACCCAGAAACTTACATCAAAAATGTATATCTTATTCTAGATCTTACCTTCTTCTCATCTCTTCCATGTGTAGTCAGTCAACAAATGTCTGTTCCCACTCTTATTATCTTGGCACTGTCTTCCCCTTGCTCTCCACTCATGCCCAAATCTAAGTACCCCTGCCCCTGGTCTCTGCCTTATTTCATGTCTTCCATCTTGCTTCCTGAGTTATATTTCTAAACCAAAATCTGAGGGTCCTCTGTTTAAAGTGCCAAAATGGTTTCCCTATTGCTTACAGGATACTGCCACATTCTTTAGCTTGACGTTTTAGATTCATTGATCTGTCTGTCCCCTGCCTCCTGTCTTAGTCCATTTTTGTTGCAATGAAGAAATACCTGAGACTGGGTAATTTACAAAGAAAAGAGGTTTATTTGGTTCATGGCTCTGCACACCCTATAAGAAGCACAGCATCAACATCTGCTTCTGGGGAGGGCCTCAGGAAGCTTCCATTCACAGTGAAAGGCTAAGGGAAGTGGGAAGCAGGCATCACAGGGGGAAAGAGGAAGGAAGCAAGGGAGGGAGGTGCAGAGGTCTTTTCAACAATCAGATCTTGTGAGAACTCACTAATTGCTCCTAGAATGACACTAAGCCTTTTGTGAGCAACCCATGATCCACCACCATCACTCAAACACATCCTTCTTCACCCCACTTTCAACATCAGGGATTACATTTCAACATGGTATTTGAAGGAGACGAACATCCTCTGTATCACTTCCTTATCTTGTCTCATCTTTCAATCCCCCAGCAATACTTTACTCTTCAATATTTCCTGATGGATTATAAATATAAATCTCCAAATATGTATTTTCTTCTCTTATTCGAGAATGTCCTTATTCTGTCCTTCCATTTGGCTTTTTTTTTTTTTCCAAATCCTACCTCAGATATACCTTTTCCAGGAGGCCTTTTCTGGGGGCCTTTTCTGATCTTCTGCCTAGCTGCGAACACCCAGTGTCAGGCTGTGATCCATGTCTTCTATGTGACTTCATGCAGTTTCCCACCAGTGAACAGATACTTCCTTCTGCTCCTTTCCAGGTTATTCTCTCAATACCCTGAGAAGAACTGCATGTTACCAAAAGATAGAGTATTTAGTTGTTGAAACTACTCTATGTGCAATTTTAAGCTATTAGCCCCTGGCACGGTACTCTCTTATGAAGAGAGGAGCACAGGCTTTGTGACAGGTATTGTCTCATTAAGCAAAGCCCTTTTATATTTGTTGGAGCTGTATTCCTAATAGTTGTAATTGGCCAGTTGGAGTCATACACTATTTTAATATTACATTCTTGCTTGTAAGCTAAAGATAAAATATTCAGATGAATTTTTATTAATTTATGTTTGCTCATTGTTTTAGTCCCACGGGATAGAGGAAAACTTCAACGGTGGAATATATTACATTTTACACATTCAATTTTTCTGGCTGTAAATATATAATCAGGGAAACAAGCTAATTAAATAACGTAGATGTTGAGCAATACATTCAAAGCAAGAGACAAAATGTTATCATTAGGAAGGCAGGACCTCGGTCCACCCATACAGACTGTTAGAATTTAGTCTTTGACCCAAGTTTTGTACTAAATGTCACTTAAATAAATTTGTAGCATTATCTTGGAGAGCTTTCAGTTCATATCTTACCACAGAACAAGAAAAATATTAGTCACATAAAGGCATTCTGAGACGTGATGCTTTAAGTAAGGATCCTTCAATTTATGGGCAATGTTGGTCTCAATAGTTTTGGGAATTAATAATGAAAAAAACATTTCTGAAAGCAATGGCTTTGAAATGTTAACCCAGACCGATTTTTTAAAAATCCACCTATTATCTGAACAATTCATTGAGAAACACTTTAAGACCAGGGTCTTAATTCCTCTGAGAAGTAAATATATTTTAGTTAAGTGGAACTAGTCTTTAATCCTCACCATTGACTTATTCCACTGAAAGAAGGAATATCAAAGAAAGAAAGAATCCATGAGTAATCATGAAATGTCACTTTACTTAGAATTTTCCCCTTTAAATTTTTTTCTTTTTTTTTGAGACGGAGTCTCACTCTGTCGCCCAGGCTGGAGTGCAGTGGCCGGATCTCAGCTCACTGCAAGCTCTGCCTCCCGGGTTCACGTCATTCTCCTGCCTCAGCCTCCCGAGTAGCTGGGACTACAGGCGCCTGCCACCACGCCGGGCTAATTTTTTTGTATTTTTTAGTAGAGACGGGGTTTCACGGTGTTAGCCAGGATGGTCTCGATCTCCTGACCTCGTGATCCACCCGTCTCGGCCTCCCAAAAAGTACTGGGATTATAGGGTTGAGCCACCGCACCCGGCCCCCTTTAAATTTTTTTAAACATCAACAAATATTTTGCAAAAGTGTTTACTAATATTTCCTAAGATTAGTAGTTAGTATTTAGACAGGAGCAAATGTATACTATTCAAAATAATAAGCCGTTTATTCTGCATCATTGTTTTTATTTGAAAAAGAACCTGTAATGGGATTTATGTGGTAACATTTTACACAATATATTTTATAACTTATAATATTTAACTTATAACTTTCCTTAAATTGCTATTCATGTCAGGAAAACTAGCTGATTTTTATATGTATACTCACAGTGAGAACATACACTATTTGGAAAGAAATAATACAATTATTTCACATTAAATCCAAAGGACACTATGATTAATTTTAGAATTGTCTTTAAAGTTACTAAAAATAAAGAATTCGTGGCCATGGGCCAAATTTACTTTTTCCTGAGAGACTTTCAAAGAGTGGCTTTAGTGGCCTTTGTCTAGGGCCGATGAGCCAGATTTAATGCTCTCTAATATTGTTGGAATCTGGCATCTGGGTTTTCCCCTAAGAATGAATGTACAGCATTCCATTTAAGAATCACAGTTTGGCTAAAGTTGATCAGATCAGTGCTCTTTCTGCTTCACAATAATCTGTTGTTCCATCGTTTTACAGCTCTAGAAAATAAATAGTTAATTTTATATCTTAAAACTAGTTGCTCAATTAAAAATACAAAATTTTTTACCTTTTTAATAAAGCAATTTCCATCCTGAATGCCAATTAGGCATATTTAGTTAGAATCTCCTGGTTATATGCATCAGAATTCATGGCTTATTTCAAGTAACAGGCATTTTGCTATAAAAATCATGCACAGAATTATAGCCCTTCAATCTTCTGAGTAAGGGTTTATCTTTGCAAGGGCAGAACCTAGAGCAAGCCCCAGCTTTAGGAAGAGCCGGAGTTGACATAGTGCTGGGCCATGGGATTGTTACTCTGTGTGTCAGCATTAAAGTGAGTCAGCTACTTCATCCTTATTCCGAGTTTACTTATTGTCTGGCTTATTCATCCTCAATTCTCTGTTTCTTAGTTTGCGCTGTCTCAGACCCTTGGCATCCTGTCATTCCAGTGACTCTGACTCCACATCATAACCCCTGCCATCTCAACCCCTTTGGGCAATTATCTTGATATTTTTAAGGCAAACTTGTCTAGAGGGGAATTCTGATCATTTTTGCCTTAGTACATGCCACAGGCCACTGGCCTTATATGAATTGTCTGTCCTTGGGTCACTTGACCATGATTGACTTAATCCACAGAGGCATTGGCTGAGGAGCTCCAGAGTCTTACACAAGGACTATCTTTCCGTAAAAGGGCATACAGGGGACAATGCTACTGGGGCTGAGAGTTGCCAGAAGCCATAATTGACTTGGTTCTGCAACACCATTCCAATCTAATGCTAATCTCCCGACAGACAGAAATCCTACCCCCTTAGTCATCATGCCCAGTATGAGAAGGTTTTCGTTTTATTTTTGTAATTTCAATAGTCTCATTTTAATGATTTATCAAGAAGTATGAAAGCTCTATTATCGTTTTTTACACTGTATTAGTGTATTATTATGGTCTCTTTGAAACAAACAATTCTCCATTTGGGTTCAGATACTCCTCAGCTTATTTCATTTTTTGGAGCAAGTTATTTATTTTCAATAAAATAGCCAGAGCTCATTCATTGGCTACAATAAATAAAATGTTCCTTGAAATACCAAAAAAACAAAAACCCACCAAATTTTATTATCTAAGCATTCTGAGACTCTGCCATCTTACAAGATGTCCAATTTTAGTTGTAAACATGGAAATCTGTAATAATTATAATGTTCTCAATTCTCCTACAACCAAAGCAAAATCAGTAAAAGAACAGACTTTTTTAAAGCCTAAAATTTGGGATCTATTATTTCTTAGTGATGACTTAGTGCCCCCTAGGACAGAGATTGACAAATGTTCTATGAAAAGAAACAGATAGTAAATATTTTTGGTTTTCTGAGCCATATGTTCTCTGCTGTAACTACTTTCTTCTGCCATTGTAGCACAAACAAAGCTATAGGGAATGAATAAATGAATGAGAATGGATGCGTTTCAATAAAATTTTATTTATGGATATGGAGATGTAAATTTTACATAATTTTCATGTCACAAAATATCACTCTTTTGATTTTTTTCCCCAACCATTTGAGAAAGTAAAAACCATTCTTAACTCAGTACCCGTGCCACATTTGCCTCTCTCTGCCCTAAGAAACTAAATTTAGCTTTCAAAGCTCTTGGGAAATTTAAGTACACCATTTCTACTAGTTTGAGGAAAACAGTTTTCTTTCACTCTTTTTATCATTTAATTTTATAATTGTCCTAAAAGGTTATTTTACTGTTGATATTAATGTTTAATTTTACATATAATAACACCAAGCTTTATTGTTATATCTTATGTATAATTATTCCATTAATATAGCTATTAGTATCATTTTATCTTTATTACAGGTTATTTGAGACACTGCAGTCCCTGTTTTGGTCAATATTTGGACTCATCAATTTATATGTGACCAATGTCAAAGCACAGCATGAATTTACTGAGTTTGTTGGTGCCACCATGTTTGGGACATACAATGTCATCTCTCTGGTTGTTCTACTCAACATGTTAATAGCTATGATGAATAATTCTTACCAACTGATTGCTGTAAGTTGACCAGCTTTATTTTAATTCAATATTTCCTCTAGAATCTGTTGTTGTCAGCTATACGCCATCTTCTTACCATCATAAATAAAATCTATAATTAGCCATTGATGAGACAGATAAGAATTATCAATGGTTAATTTGAAATTTCTGAGCAGTAGCACCCTATATGTAGCTCTAAGTTAATCTGATTTTGTCATGTTACACATGATTACAAAGATAAACCAAATCCATTTTGCCAGGCAGTCACTGGCTATGGGAAATAATAGCTGAGATCTGACTTACAAACAAGCAGCTCATCTCTGTGCAGTGAACAATAGGTTTTGCCTCCTGTCAGTCCATTTAACCTGCCACCCTCACATAAGCAAAGTCATTCCTGTAGGGGAAGATACAAAAGATAACCCAGAGAGGAGTCTGGGGAGGGGAGAAGTCGTAGGATTTTCAATTTCTTAAAACTCAGGGAAAGCAATGTATTCAGAGAAGTAGTATTAAATTCTGTAGGATAATACACAATACAATACATTTTTTTTGAAACTCTGGAATCGAAACAACTTAGCATACATTATTTACTTATTCATTCAACACATAATTACTTGGTACATACTGTGTTGTCCAGTACTGTTCTGGGCACCAGAAATACAGCAATGCACAAGAAGGACAAAGCTTGAACTTATCTGCTTGAACGTACATACTAGTGATATACGTCTCTGACCACTAGCAATAGCAGCAAATCAGAACCCTTAGTGGAATGAAACATAGTTAAGTCTTTCATATTTATACCTTAGACAAGCAGCATTTTATAAGCATAATTATAGTTTTCCCATTTTCTTCATAAATAACTACATTACATTATACCTTTGAATCTATGGTTAAATCTCTGAAGAGTTATTACTGTGTTTTTGTCAAGCAAAACTCTGAATTTTACTTCAGCTGTCTTTAAGGGGCACATTTTTCTCATAAGACACTCATCACTGATGAAAAACTGCATAGAACATGAAAATAGATGGTTTTTATTTACCGATTCACAGGCTAAAGTATTCCAAATGCATAGATAATTCCTCTGGAAATAGGTAGGTCCTAGGATTTGGAGGTTAATGTCCGAATTTGTGGATACTTTGGATTTCATTTAAGCATCTCATGATCTGAAATTTTTATGGACTCTAAATTTTTGTGTCAGAAGTTCTATGTTCTCCTAATTAACATATTGCCAAAATGTGGGTTCTGTTTTCCAGAACATCAGCAACAACAACAAATTAGAAGTCCTTTAAAGCTAGATACAAGGAAGCTGCCAGCAATTTGGATTTTTTTTTTTTTTTTTTTTTTTTTTTTTTTGAGACGGAGTCTCGCTCTGTGGCCCAGGCTGGAGTACTGTGGCGCAATCTCAGCTCACTGCAAGCTCCGCCTCCCGGGTTCACACCATTCTCCTGCCTCAGCCTCCTGAGTAGCTGGGACTACAAGCGCCCGCCACCTCGCCCGGCTAATTCTTTGTATTTTTTTTTTTGTAGAGACGGGGTTTCACCGTGTTAGCCAGGATGGTCTCGATCTCCTGACCTCGTGATCCGCCCGTCTTGGCCTCCCAAAGTGCTGGGATTACAGGCGTGAGCCACTGCGCCCGGCCTGGATCTTTTAAAACATTAAATGTCCCAATTTCATCAAGAAGAAAACACTAAGAATATTATGACTTTTTTTATTGCTTCTTTGTGAGGCGTGCTTTTCTAGGTAACTTCATTACAGAGATGAGAATCATCTTCAACTCTCTATTTCTACTTAGCCCAAACCCTAAGAGTATGGAGAACAAAACAGGCATTAAGCACCTGAGACAGGTGTGATTCCAGGTCTCCATGCATGAAGCCTCCTTGAGGCATGAATATGCCAAGCATTGCTTTCCCCTGTTCCAGAATAGCAGAATATACTCTGGGTCCTTGGGTCCTTGGGTCCTTGGGTCCTTGGGTCAGTCGGTCCTTCCTTCCTTCCTTCCTTCCTTCCTTCCTCCCTCCCTCCCTCCCTTTCTCCCTTCCCTCCTTCCTTCCTTCCTTCCTCCCTTCCTTCCCTTTCTCTTTCTTTTCTTTCTTCCCTTTCTTTCTTTTTTTCTTTCTTTCTTATCTTTCTTTACCTTTCTTTCTTCCTTTCTTTATCTTTTACATTCTTTCTTTTTTTATTTCTGTCTCTTTTTTTCTTGCTAACTGTAACTCAGAGTCATAGTTAAACCTTGAAAAACGAGGAAAATTTAACTGTTGAAAGGCAGAAGCAGTTATGTAGGCCTCAACTAAAGCCTGTTTTCCATTCACTCATTTGTTCATTGATTAAATATTTATAGTGAACCAACTATATACCAGACATATGCTTAATTTTAGGGATACAAAGAATTAAAAAGTCCCGTTTTCAACAACAACAAAAAAATGATATAGTAGAGATAAAGAATCGATAAATAATTTCAATATTGAGAAAAGAAATTTGAGGATGTCATGAAAGTATGGAAGAGGGGACCTTGACTGGGGTTGGAAATAGGAGGCAGCTCAGGACTGATGGGAGGCAGAGCAGGCTTCTGAGTAGAGAGGATTCTTAAGCCGAGTTTCAAATGTTGACTAGGAGTTAGAAGGTGAGTAGTGGAAGGTGGATCTAGTCATCACCAGCTTAGAATTTTTTATCTCCAGATTTTCTAAGCACTATAGACTATGTTATAGACCCTCTTAAAATCCTAAATCATGAACAAAGAAAGCACTTGCTTAGTGATTGCAATAAGATAACATAATTTGAGACTCCCTAGGAATCAGAGAATCAGAAGGAGCTATTCACAGGCCAATGCTTTATCTAAGTGATTGCCTTTTTATTTCCTTGAGCCAGATCTACTGAGTCCCATTCTCTATGCCTGCAGGAAACAATATATACAATTCTCTTTACCAATGCAGCATAATCAGCCAGAACCGATAAGCTTGTTTAGAAAGAAACAGAAAGGAAAGGAGGGAGAAATAAGAAAGGAAAGAAAGAGGAGGGGAAAAGGGAGAGAAACTGCAGCTTCTGTGTTCCCATTTATCAAACATTCGCTTAGTAACAATAAGGCCATGCAATTTCTAGCTATGGTGATTCTTGTTCAAAGCACAATCTGTCCAGTATCTGGATTAAAACCCATGTTGCGCAGAGTAGAAATGTATGTATAACTTATTCATCAGCATACAGCAATTTAGGAATATCAAAATGAAACATAGTTGAAGATTATTCTCCTACTGTAAAATATGAGTTCGTGTTTATGATATTAACTGGTTACAATGAACTATTCTGAATTCTTAAAATGAATGTATGCCCAGTCTCTACCACCTCCTACTTCTCAGATTTTCTGCTTAAATCAGATATATGGCTACATTTCTAAGAAGAGACTGGCCGCCCCAAATCTAATTGCCACAAATGTTCCAAAGTTTCCCCAGGAGGTTAATAAAGTGGAGTGGGTAATACATGATGAAGGGGATAGCCTCAGGATTGTGGGCAACCACTGGCCATACTGCTCTTTGGTGAAATCTGTCCAAAGTTAGGTCAAGATTCCATGGTGTGTCAGAGAAGCCCAATTCTACATTTATTAGGGGAACTTCTTTCTGTGTTTATTTCCGTTGGCCAAAGGTGGGCAATAATATTCACATGAAAATATATCCAATAAGACTTTTCCTGGCAACACTGAAGGCTAAGCCATGAGCATCTGTGGAGGTAACATTAATCGAAACAGGAATACAAGACTTTGGTTAAGACAGAAAGTCTATTTCTGAATCAAATGGAACTGCGCTAACGTGAGCCTACAGTGCAGAAGATGGAGGCTAATCTTCAAGTCATAACTAATTACTGCAGTCTTTTTCACGTGGAATTATTTTAGATGTCTGTTTCACTGAAGAAGGAAGTATGAGAAGTGACACAAGACCTGTGACTACTCTAGGTTAAGCCACCATCTGAAATGTTTAGATGACTATCTCTGGGAGTCAGTGGTGGTTTTAGAAGCAATTTAATTAATGTTCCAAGAGTTGCTTGAAGTCAGGTTACAGGCTGTCTGTGAAATTTATGGTACCTTATTAATTAAGGAACCTGTCATCAGTTGTCATGTTCTCCTGTTCAGGACCATGCAGATATAGAATGGAAATTTGCACGAACAAAGCTTTGGATGAGTTATTTTGAAGAAGGAGGTACTCTGCCTACTCCCTTCAATGTCATCCCGAGCCCCAAGTCTCTCTGGTACCTGATCAAATGGATCTGGACACACTTGTGCAAGAAACAGATGAGAAGAAAACCAGAAAGTTTTGGAACAATAGGGGTAAGAACACAGCATGTTAGTATTACTCTTTTTCTAAATTGTGTATTTGAATATATTTGTAGTCTTTAATGAACATGTTCAGGTCTTTAGCCTTTTTGTTCTTACCGACTGCATGTCATGAACATTTATAGCACATCTCCCATGACCAAGGCAGTGTCTGATTAACTAGGATTTCTTCACAAGTGCATTTCCTGCATCAAGGGCAGTCACTGCTATTTTAATAGAAGTTCTGCTCTTCACACAGCCCTCAAGTTCTGCTAGCCAAGGATGGGGAACTGGCATACTCTGTCTTAGTACCTTGACTTCTAGGTCTTTGCAGAATGTGACAGCAGGTTATTTGTGGCATTTATTCCTCATTGTCTGTTTCCCCCTCTGGATTGTATGCTCCATGAGGGCAGGGCATGTGTTTTAGTGACCTCAAATTCCTCGTGCCTAACATAGAGGTCCTTACACGGAGCATTTTATGCTTGATAAGAATTCTCAATTAAATGATTGAATATTATAACTTAAATATGCTGTGCCAACTGTCAACTGTGATTCCAGAACATGTTTAATTACTCAATATGTTGCGTCTACTCCCTATCATATTAGATGCCAAGAAGTTAGGCATCTAAATATACATATATATATATACACACACACACACACACACAGAGAGAGAGAGAGAGAGAGAGAGAGAGAGAGAGAGAGAGACTGCTCAGAACCATGCTCGTGGTAAACTGGAAGATGATATTTCCCTTTCCTCATTTTAGAAGTCAAGGTTTCAAGCAATTCCAGCAGAAGATACATCACATTAAGCTTTTGGTCCAGCCATACCATTGACATAAGACAAATCAAATCATTCTTCACGCCTTCCTCCCTTTGCGTTCTAATTTTGAAAGTTCTCATAGTGATGTTTTGGGAATTAACACACTGATACTCATTAGTCACTTTGATCTTCTCAGGAAAATTGCTTTGGAAGTATTTGAAAATGTTGTTATATTAGGATTACCAAGTAATATTTGAGATTAATTAAAAATAAAAAATATTAATTTGTTTTCAATTTTATTTGACATGGTGTGTGACTGCTATGCCCTAAGAAACCCTTCCCACTCTTTCACTTCATTGCCTACCAGGCATTGTCATCAGCACCAAATGGAGCTTTCTCCTACTGACAGTGGCATTAATTTTCCTCTCATCTCAGTAACAACTCTAATTAGAGAAATTGACTGGCAAGTGAATGTTACAAAGAGGTGATTAGGAGATGCAGTTATATTCTTTCCTATAAACTATTACCCATAGATTTGAGGGACTACAGTTTGCGAACTTATCTGACCTTAGAAACCAAAGTCAGATTGTGACAAAGCCTTATCCTGCCATCCTCATACTAATTTATGAACTTTAACACTGACCTTAGAAGGGAGGGAAATTATTTTCCTCCAAATATTTGACTTTTGTGTTAAAAGTTTTAGAATAAATGTTATAGCTTAGATTTAATAAGCAATTACTGCATGTGTTCCCCTTGTCATAACTGAACTAGAATTTGAGGAGTGGCAAGAGGTACGAAGGCATGGGTTCCATCTTTGAGGGCACCAATTTTAATGTGAGAGATGCAGAAATAAAAACAGATATGTTATGTAATATATTTAACATTATCATGCAGTCACATGCAAAAGGCTATGGGAAAAATGCAAGACATAATTAATGCTTCCCTTGAGGTAAACAGGACAAGATTTCAAGGAAGCCAGACTCCAGCTTACTCCTTTCTAGATCAAACATACTTATCCTTTGTACCATCTCATCCTTAAATTTATAAGCATTTTTTAATCGATCTCAGAAAAGATAGTGATGATTAATGCTGTCATAATATACTACCTTTCATAAGAGTATTCTGATTTAAAAAGAGCTTCTGGGTCAAAAAAGAAAAAGCCTACTCACCAAAGAAATATGTATTTCATATTTTAATTTTAGGCAATGGCAGAGAGAATCTTGGTTTTTAAGATAACAGGAAACTTGTAACAAAACACAGGGTCCTGCTCTGATGTTTTAAGTGATCCATCTGTACTGCCAACAAAACGAATGGAGAACCAGACCAAAAGCTTGACTTCCGACCCTCCCTCCTATCCTCTCACTTTTGATTCATGGAAAGGATTATGTTGCCATCATTCTTTAGAAGCAAAGAGGAGCTCTCAGTCAATTGGCTTTTCTATTAAAGTAGTGATTCATTCTCAGGGTTAAACAGTTTTATTTGCTATATACTACTAGTCTCAAAAGGAACCCACACATTTCTCTTATATGTCTATCTCTATATTTGAGTTTTTTGCTCCAAGCTGATGCACAGCAAAATAATTTGAAACTAATCAGAATCTCAAACCATTCCTTTTTTTTTCACTATTAATATTTTACTAACATTCAACAATGAGTATTTGGATGCTTTGGGAATTTATGCCAAAGGGGAAAATATTCTGAGTCATGTCTCTCTTTTCCACCAATCTAGAGCCTTGGGCAGGCACCAGTCCAATCAACATCAATGCTGTCTAAATTTACTCTTTCTCCATACTGCATTTCCAGAATGAAAAGAACATATGATTTTCAGATGCCTACTCTTAGTTGAGTTTTATACATTTTTTGTTTATATGAAAATAAATAAGTATAATTTATAAAGAAGTTCTTGCTTATAAAAGTATAAGAAAGACTAGGCGCGGTGGCTCACACCTGTAATCCTAGCACTTTGGGATCATAAGGTCAAGAGGTAGAGACCATCCTGGCTAACATGGTGAAACCCCGTCTCTACTGAAAATACAAAAATTAGCTGGGCGTGGTGGTGGGCACTTGTAGTCCCCAGCTACTCAGGAGGCTGAGGCAGAAGAATCGCTTGAACCCGGGAGATGGACGTTGCAGTGAGCCGAGATCGCACCACTGCACTCCAGCCTGGTGACAGAGCGAGATTCCGTTTCAAACAATAAATAAATAAATGTATAAGATAAATGAGATATAAATTAAGATGGTTGTATTATTAAAAGAGGGGTTAACTGAGAAAGTGATATGAAAAGTATTTAATTTTTTCGTGAATTGATTTCAACTTGGTTAATCCTCCTGACAGTTTATTAGGTGTACATACAAAGACAATGAGATACACAAATAGCTATTAATTAAAAGGTGACATTTAAGGAACAGTAACAGTCACTTTGTGAAACCAGCACATGGCTTAGAATATACCATTATACCCCAAAGCGATCTTATATATCATTTAGCTCAACCGTTTCTTTTAAAAGAGAACCTGTTTACTTTGCCCATTGTCTGAGGGTCTCTTAGAGACAGAGCAGGGGAAAAATGCCGGGTCTTCCGTTTTCCAGCTCAAACTGCTTTCCATTGCCCTCTCTTACTTCCCTGAGAAGTCTGGTGAGCATGCAGCAGTACCTTCCCTGTTGTGTCTTTTGATTGTTCTCAGCAGCCTTTGCAAATCCTATCATCATTGTTTTCAGCTGCCTCTTAGACGCCTGTATCCAGAATCCCTTGTTTACCAGGCTGGTTTACCTTCTGCCCTTATCCTCAACCTGCTTATCTTTATGCTGCATTTTTGAAGCAGAAAATTAAAGCCACACTGCAAGTGAATTCATTCTTTGAAGTATTTTTCTGTAACCTTCCCATTTGTAGTTCACTTGCTAACACTCGTCACCCAGCCTTTGCGTAAACGTCACCCTGGTGCTCATTCCATTCACGTTCCCAGGAAATGCCTGGGAAACCAGTGCTCTTCAGGGTTGCTACACTGGCCACTCTCTAGGAGCCCATTATTGATGATCTTATCGTGCTATTTACGGCGTCCTAGTAATACTGATACAACTAGCTCTGAAAACTCATTAACTCATATTTCTTTGTAACTCTGGACTGCATTTAATGGGTGTTTGGGAGTTCCAGGTAAATTAATCTTTCACTTTACTGCTTTGTGGGAGAACACGTAAGTGGAGCAGAAATGCTTTATTATTGAGCACAACATTTGTGATAGAAAGCAAACCCATTATTGAGAGATCCTTCATCTCTGGACTATTAAAAAAACCATGAAAGCAGTCTACCCAAATAAGAAACACACTCTAACTTGTGTTTTTTGATATTGCTTCTTGTCAAGTGTTTTGTTTAACCTCATTTTATCAGCAAATACCCTTCTCGTTATTAAAGCATTCGTTCTCAAATTTTATAGCATACAAGAATTGTCAGGAGTCTCCATTTTAACAAGCATTTCCAGTTTATAACTTTAACTGGACAATTCTATTCAAGACAGCATTGGTGTTTACCACAATTTGTTTTGAAGTTTTTGAATCTTTAATTTGTGTGAGTACATAGTAGATCTGAGCTATTTAAACTAAAACAAAACCAGGTTTCCTGCTGTTGCTCCAAAAGTCCCGATCCATTTAATTCAAGTACAAAGATGCTATTATAATACAGTACTTCCCCAAAGCATTGAATTAATGTGAAACATATTTAATGCCACAGACTAGGTTTCTAAATGAAATGTTTACATTTATATGTTAGTGTACCAGACCAAAAAAAAATACTAGCTCTTTCAATAAAATCATAAGAAATGTTTTTAACTTCCTTAGTTTTATGTCTTCCACTTTTTGGTTTTCTCTCAAGCACATGGTGAGAAGAACAGGAGGCATGACGATCTCTGGCAGATCACTGAGCATCACTCAGCCCCGAGATACAGGTGGAATATTCGAGCCTGACTAGTTGCCACAGAAATATGCCCAGTTAAGTCACTGCAAATGAATTAGAAACTGTGAATAGATTAGCAACAGCTATCATCACTAAAGAAAAAATGCTCATAGTACATGCCTCTCAGACTTCATTTATAGTGGCAATTTGTCAAAATGTATTGCTCCCTAATCTTTAGGACACTCAGTAGGCCTAATGACAAATCTTACAGATATGACAACTTTCATCCATGAGGATCTCCAGATTTCCTAAATTACTGCTGCAAGATTTGTTGGCAGGGCCTTTTGATGAAACTTTATTTCCCCGTT